AGGTTTTTTAAAAAATGCTAAAGGAGAACATTAGAGAATTGCTATCGTTAGGATCTAATCGCTCACTGCTGTCCTTTATGCTATTCAGTATCAACATGAAACCACTGGAAATTACCTATGTTTGTAATACTCCACTCAGTATCAAGGATGCAGCTGTAGAAGTAGTCAATGGTATTAAGTATCTGGGGGTGCAGATAACTAATAATCTGAATTGGTCACTCCACACATCATCCTTAACGAAGCGTGCAAACCAGTGCCTGCATTTCCTGTGTCGGATGAGGAAAGCACATCTTTCTCCTTCTGTCCTGGCCACTTTTTACAGAGGCACGATTGAGAGCATTTTAACAAACTGCATCACTGTCTGGTTTGGTGGCAGCAGTGCCTCAGATAGAAACTCCATATAGAAAATGGTAAGGACAGCCGAGAAGATCATAGGAAGCTCGCTCCCTAGTATTCTGGTAAACTCGCAAGATTTGTTTTTCTCACCATGCACATCTACATAACCTGAACTAGACTGTTGTTTCTCTATGTCCTATAATATATGTGGGCATATGCATAATTCTGTATTTATTTATTTTTGACATATTTGTTTAATGTATAATAATAATAATAATAATAACAATAATACCAACAACTTTCAAATTACTAACTGGTGTGGTAGCTGATGCAGTGCAACAGCATCTAGTTGAAAACAATCTTTTTCCACCTGAGCAGAAAGGAAACCGCCCCAATAGCAGAGGAACAAAAGATCAACTCCTAATAGACAAAATGATCTTGGAAAACTGCAAGAGAAGGAAGACCAACCTGAATGTGGCATGGATTGACTACAAAAAGGCATTTGACTCTCTGCCACATGATTGGATAATAAAGTGCCTAGAAATAACAGGAGTCAGTAGAAACATCAGAAAATTTGTGCAAAGATCGATGGCACAATGGAAGACACAGTTGCAGATCAATGGTGAGAGGCTGGGAGAGGTTAATATCAAGAGAGGAATATTTCAAGGAGATTCATTATCACCATTACTATTTGTTATTGCACTGTTTCCTCTGTCAACAATACTGAATAACTCAGGACATGGCTATCAAACATCAAAAACATCTGCCAGACTATCCCACCTCCTTTATATGGATGATCTGAAGCTGTATGGAAAAACATCATCTGAAATAGAATCGCTGCTCAACACTGTCCGTATATATAGCCAAGATATTGTAATGGAGTTTGGCTTGGACAAATGTGCCACACTTACTATCAAACAAGGAAAAATAATGAAAACTGAAGGAATCAAGATGCCCCACGAAAATAACATTAAGAGTCTGGATGAGGAAGAGTACTACAAATACTTGGGTATCCTTCAAGCTGACAACATCAAGCACACTGAAGTCAAGAAAAAGATTAGAGGTGAATACATCAAGAGAGTGAAGAAGATCTTAAAATCCAAACTCAATGGAGGAAATACCATAAAGGCAATCAACACCTGGGCAATCCCAGTCATTAGGTACACAGCTGGAATAGTGGACTGGACTCAAGCAGAACTAAAAGCAATGGATAGGCAGACCAGAAAAATAATGACAATGAATCATGCCCTTCATCCACGCAGTGACATTGATAGACTTTATCTACCAAGGCAAATAGGTGGGCGTGGAATGCTACAAGTACATCAGATTGTTGAAGAAGAAAAAGTGGCTTTGGAAGAATATCTGAAGAACAATGATGAAGATGCACTGAAATTAGTATATCAGGAAGGCTTACTAACTACTGGAGAGACCAAACTGGCCTACAAGAAAGACCAAATGAAGAACAGAATAGAGGCATGGGAAGACAAAGCACTACATGGCCAATACATGAAAAAAATAGCTGGGAAAGCAGATAATAATAAAACCTGGCAATGGCTAAGAGCAGGAAAATTGAAGAAAGAGACCGAGGGACTAATTCTGGCTGCACAAGACCAAGCCTTAAGGACAAATGCATACAAAGTCAAAATTGAGAAGACAGCAACAGACAGTAAGTGCCGCCTATGCAAAGAAGCTGAAGAAACAGTGGACCACTTGGTAAGCTGTTGCAAGAAGATTGCACAGACTGATTACAAGCAGCGGCATGACAAAGTAGCAACAATGGTGCATTGGAAGATCTGCAAAAAATATCATTTGCCTGTAAGCAAAAACTGGTGGGATCATAAAATAGAGAAAGTCATAGAAAATGATAAAATTAAACTGCTCTGGGACTTCAGAATTCAAACAGACAAGCACCTGCAACATAACACCCCAGACTTAACAATTGTCGATAAGAAAGACAAAAAAGTCTGGATAGTGGACATAGTGGACGTGGCAGTGCCAGCAGAATAGAAGAGAAAGAACTGGAGAAGATAACAAAATACAAAGACCTACAAATAGAAATAGAAAGACTGTGGCAAAAGCAAGCAAGGGTAGTACCAATAGTAATAGGCTCCTTGGGTGCAATCCCAAAACAACTGGAGCACCACTTGAACACCATTGGCATTGACAAATTCGCTATTAGTCAATTGCAAAAGGCGGCCTTATTAGGAACTGCTTCCATCCTGCGACGATATCTGTAATACCATCAAACATCCACATCTGCCTATCCCAGGTCCTGGGTAAGGACTCGATAGGTAGACAAAATGCCAAATCCAGTCTGAACATCTGGCTGACTGTGCGATGATCGATAATAATAATAATAAAGTTGGAAAGGACCTTGGAGGTCATCTAGTCCAACCCCCTGCTCAGGCAGGAAACCCTATACCATTTCTGACAAATGGCTGTCCAGTTTCTTCTTAAAAACTTCCAGTGTTGGCGCATTCACCACTTCTGGAGGCAGGTTGTTCCACTGGTTAATTGTTCTAACTGTCAGGAAGTTTCTCCTTAATTCTAGGTTGCTTCTCTGTTTCGTTAGTTTCCACCTGTTGCTTCTTGTCCTGCCTTCAGGTGTTTTGGAAAATAGCTTGACTCCCTCTTCTTTGTGGCAGCCCCTGAGATATTGGAACACTGCTATATCAGAGGTGTATATCAGAGGTAGTGACCCTTTGAGAGCTGCATGCAACAAAATTTAATTTTAATGTATGCTGATTAGTGTACATTCAAAGTGACAATAAAATTATTATTCTATTCTATTCTAAACATGATGCACCATCTTCCTGCAAGCTGTGATCTCTTCTAAGAAGGGAAATTCTATGACTGGGTTTGCTCATCTTAAGCCAGTTTGCCTAACCATATTTTGACTAAATTAGAGTTGATAAATTCTTAATATTCTCTAAGTCATAAACTATAAATCACTGTCTGGTTCACATATATTCTAAGCCCAATCCAAACAAGCCATATTACTGATTATCACAATACGTAAAAAGGGGCTATAAATTTCCTCTTGCTTGACAAGGATTGGGCCACCCTCTTGTTTTCAGCTGGTCCCAATAGTCCGAAATAGATGATATCCTAGTATATGACATTACAATTTCAGTTCAATGAAAGGACTAGGAATCTTCTGACACGATTGTGTAGAATCTCAAGAGTCTTTTTATTTATTTCTCAATCAGTCGATTTCTTAAAATTCTAAGCCATACAGTATTTGGTTTTGGCTGTCCTTATATAAGTTTTAAGATGTTCTATCTCCTTAGCTGAAAAGGGGAAAAATTTATTACAGAGTAAAATTTTAAATGGCTGCTTGTGAGAATTTCACATAAATTGTATACAAATGTATAACCAAATATAAGTTATTAAAAGAGCGTATTTGCTTTATTTCTTGGCCACTGAAGCACCATTTAAATTCTCTGGTTCTTTGTCAAAATGACCTGCTATAAATATACTGCTTCCTTCTACAGTATTCTATTTTCCTCATTCCCTGTATGATTTTCTATTACTGTATAGCAAGTACTTTCATGTTTCATATCTTTTGTTAAGATTGTCGCAACTGGTTTAATTGTACATACAGAAAAGCCTTCAGCAACATATAATATAGTGTGTTGCATAAGCATTTGTCTAGTAAATTCTTTACTTCCTTTTGTTTCTGATTTAACGTCACTGTGTGATCTCAGCTCATTCAAGTATCTATGAAAAGCAATGCAGTACATTTCTCTACCACTCTCTGGACTGCAGCAGTTAAACAGGTATGTATCAGTTTGTCTGCTGCCAAAACTATAGTCTATTGTTACCCTAAAAGCCAGCAGATTTATTATTACAGAGTTATATGGGCAAAAGGTCACACAGAAGATACATCACATGTTATTTAATTAGAAGATAGAGAGCCATAGAAAAGAGAACTGGAAAAAAAATATACTAAGTATAATGGGTGTGAGTGGGTGTGTCACAGTTCATTTACAGAGTCCAACTAGATATAAAAGTGAGCTATTCATAGTTGCAATCACTGATTATTAGTAACTATAACTGTAATCAAGTTTTGATTAATTCATATATTTGGACTCTCAAATGCCATAACCAAATACATTTTGCACTGCACCTTTTATAAGTTTTTTTTTAGATATGTTTGCATGTATGCAGTAACTCAGACATGATTTGCAAACAGACTATAATATTGGCAAGAACTAAGAATTGCTGGATTATAGATCACTGATTTTATCATTTACACGTCAATTACATGAAACACAAAATAGCTTTTATTAAAGCCAAACTGAAAAGAAAGCAGCACACATGCGCACATACATCCACCGCCAAGCCTAAATAAACCCGTATAATAAAAGCAACACACACATTTGCAGCATGTTAAAAAGTCACACATTTATTGCGGCTTATCACAAGCTGTAAGTTAAGTAAAGTGAGTTCAGAATTCACAACTGCTCCCGAGAAATAAGGAAAAAACGCGAAAAAGAAAAAAAAAATATGTCTATTTTGTTTTCCGTCCATGTCAGGACAGTACGTATCATCAGGAATCAGTGCGGGCAGCAGCTGTTCTTCCTTACCTTCTCACCTGCTGGTTGGCTCGGATTCCCCTCAGACTTCCCCCCCACGGCCCAATTCACTTTCCCTTCGGTTACCTGGTTGGCGACATCGGCAGGCAGCCCGCGAATGAGCACCTTGCGTCGGTTACGGAACTGTCGGGCGCTTCTTTCCAGGCGACTCTCTATTTCGGTCGGTTCCAAGGGCGGCAATACCTCTTCAGGGGCGTTGGCCGAGCCTGGATCTGGACCTGGAAGCGACCCAGAAGAGGCGGCTGCCCCATCACCTACCCCACCAAAAGCCGCTACTGCCGCCATCTTGGGAAGCAATTGCCCCCTTCCTCCTCCTCCTCCTCCTCCTCCACCACCACCACCACCTCCACCTCACAAGCTAACACCACCGGCAGAGGGAGGTGGGAAAGAATGGCGTCAGTATCATGCCAGGCCCCCATTGGTCCTGGAGTTCCCCGCCCACCTCCCGGACAGCCGTTAGATGGGTTGTCCAATGAGAGGCTTGAGTGTGAATTAACTCTTCACAGTACTGAATAAAGAGTTCCGCGCTCGATCCCGCCCAGTCCGGAGGCGTGTTCGGTGCTTAAGCAGATTTGATTGAAATCTGGGCAGCAGCGAAAGAGGTCAGAGAAATAAAAGTGAGGGAGGATTGGGCGGAAGTGAAAAGGAGAACAGCCATTCGTGTTAGGACAATTTTGTGCATCATCTAAGTTGCTTGGAAAGTCAGCCGTTTTCTTTTTTACAGAAAAAACATCGAGGCTCGTGATACTTCAATGCTGTAATACGCAACAAGACTATTAATTATGGAAAGGAAATAATAACATCACATCTTCGGCATATTAAGATGTAGGGCTATTTCGAGGAAGCCTGCCTTGAGGTATGATATTTAATAGGTCGAATTATATAGAGTGGCAAAAAAAAAAAACTGGCAGCAAAGAAAAAACATCTAGTGGTCTCTCGATTTTTGTTAAAATTATAGTAGATACCTCTCATCCCTTTCTCCTTATAAAATCACTAAGAATCCTGTTAGATTCGGAGAATGTAATTTACCTCAACTTTGTTTCATTTTTTGCGGGCCATAATTTACGTTCAACATTGCTTAATGACTATAGTTTTCAGGGTCTTTTTTAACCATCTTGGGATGCAGAGAAGAGCAACAAAGATGATCGTGGGACTGGAGGCTAAAACTATATATAAAGAATGGTTGCTGGAATTGGATACGTCTAGTTTAATGAAGAGAAGGACTAGGGGTGATAGCAGTGTTTCAACATCTTGGGTTACCACAACGAAGAAGAAGCTATTCTCCTAATTCTTGAAGGCAGGATAAGAAACAATGGATGGAAACTAATCAAGGAGAGAAGCAACCTAAAACTAAGAAGAAATTTCTTGACAGTTAGAATAATTAATCAGTGGAACAATTTTCCTCCAGAAGTTGCGAATGCTCCAACACTGGAAGTTTTTAAGAAGATATTGGACAACCATTTGTCTGAAATGGCAGGTTCCTGCCTGAGCAGAGGGTTGGACTAGAAGACTACTATTCCATTCTATTCCTATTCTATTTCTATTCTATTCCTGTTCTATTCTATTCTATTCCATTCTATTCTTAAAGAGGAATGGTGGTACTGAAAGTTAAATAGATATGGCCATACATTATCATATGTGTGTCATATTGTATCAAATATATATTGTAAAAAAATAAATATCAGTTTGGGTTGATATAAAATACTCTGAGCTAATTAAGTCACCTGGAGATCTAGTCATAATGAATTCAGAAACAAATTGTTCAACCCTCTTCAAATTATTTTGTTCTCTGGTGGTATTACATTTCAGTTGATGATCTAGATTGGGCAAACATCTAATATGCTGTGGGGATCACTCCCCAGATGTTTTCCCAGATACCTCTCCAGATATCAGCTTGGAGGAGGATGAACCAGTTCTGGGCATGTCAGGAGGGGAGTTGGTCAATGGTTCCAAGCAGCTACCTGAGAGTGATTTGGCTGAAACATAGCTGCAGCAGGAAGCCCTGAGGCTTCAAGTGGGGAAGGCTTCAGCCATGAGGAACTGCCTTCTGCACCTGATCCAAGAACATGTAGGGCAGAGAAGGGGCGTTGTCTTACCTGAATGCCTTTTCTCAGCATGAGGAATGTAGACTCCACGCATGGGTTGATTTAGTCTTCTAGCCCAATCAGACCAAACAATCAAAGTTGCCACGCCTCTGCAGGGTCTGACCATGCCCCAGTTTTCGAAAGGGCGAAGCGAATGATTGTATGACGAGATGGCTCCGAACTGCTGACACTAACCTAGCTGCTAGTAATAATCAGGGAGGGGGTGGAGTCTACATTCCTCATGCTGAGAAAAGGCGTTCAGGTAAGACAACGCCCCTTCTCCAGCATGTAGAGGAATGTAGACTCCACGCATGGGACATACCAAAGCCCCTATGATCCCACGGGTGGGAAGCAGGTTGGTTAAGTGTCGGTGCTGAAATGGACCACTTGTTGTAAAACCCGGTGGCCAAACGCAGCCTCCGCGGAAGCAAACTTGTCGAGTTTGTAGTGGTGAATGAATGGTGAAGGGGACGACCACGTAGCCGCCTTACAGATGTCCTCTATGGACGCCTGAGTCTGCCACGCCGCCGATGTGGAAGCGCTACGAGTAGAGTGTGCTGTCAGGCGGCTTGGGACAGGTAAAGAGGAAGCCTGGTAAGATTGAGCGATACAGGCCTTGATCCACCTGGCTATAGTAGAGGAGGAAACCTTCTGTCCCTTGGAAGTTGAGTGGAAAGAGACAAACAATGCCTCCGATTTGCGAAAGGAAGCTGTCCTCTTAATGTAATGACGTAATGCCCTACGTACATCTAGGCAATGCCACTGCTTTTCTAGTGTGTGAGAAGGATTGGGACAAAAGTTTGGTAGTACAATGTCCTGAGCCCGGTGAAACAGGGTATTCACCTTGGGAATGAATGAGGGATCTAACCTCAGCACCACTCTGTCCTGATAGAAGGTACACAGGTCTTCCCTAACTGAAAGAGCAGCCAGCTCTGACACGCGTCTCGCCGACGTGATGGCTACTAGGAAAGCCACCTTGTGGGACAAAATGTGAAGAGGACAAGACCTTATAGGTTCAAAGGGAGACCTAGTGAGTGCCTGCAGAACACGAGGTAGTTCCCAAGATGGATACCTGTGTACTACCGGAGGTCTGGTGTTGGAGACTCCTTTCATAAAGGATCGGACCCTGGGATGATGGGACAATGGAGTGGCGTTGGCACAGGTGAACACCGTGGAAAGAGCGGCCACCTGTCTATGCAAGGTGTTGGGCACTAAGCCTTTATCCACTCCATCCATGAGGTATTCAAGAATCACTGGAATAGTGACAGAAGAGATAGACAAACCCTTACAGGTACACCAGTCACAGAAGTTCTTCCAAGTGGCATCATAGATTCGGTTCGTCGCCGGCCATCTGGAAGCTTGGATCATAGCTATCACCCTTGAAGAGTAAGATCCGCACATCAGGAACTGGCGCTCAGATGCCAGACAGCTAGTTGTAAGCACTGTGGATTCGGATGGCATATGGCCCCCTGTGTTAGAATTATCCTCTCTGGAGGGATTTGCCAAGGGGGGGCTACGGCGAGGTTCACGAGATCCATGAACCATGGACGCCTCGGCCAATACGGGGCCACAAGGATTAGCTCCGCCTGTTCCTGTAACAGTTTCCTGATGACAGCCGGGATCAAGGGAAGGGGTGGAAATGCATATAGAAGACCCGCCGGCCAAGGGCTGCGGAGGGCATCTGCTCCTTCCGAACCCTGGGATGGGTACCGAGATAGAAACCGGGGAAGCTGGGTGTTCTTCGGGGATGCAAACAAGTCGACTTTGGGCCGACCGAAACGGTGAGTTATCTCCCGAAAGAGATGGGGATGTAGACGCCACTCTGAATGATCTATCGTAGATCGACTCACAAAATCTGCCTGGTCGTTTTCCACCCCTGAAATGTGTTCTGCCTTTAGGGACAACAGATTCTGTTCTGCCCATGACCCCAGACACTGGGCCTCGGACATTAGAATCCGTGATCGAGTGCCGCCCTGCCTGTTGACATGGGCCTTTGCCGCCACGTTGTCTGTCAGAACCAGCACGTGGCGGCCCACCAACTCCTTTTGGAAATGGCAAAATGCTAGGTGTATGGCTCTGAGCTGTAACCAATTGATATTTTTCTTGAGATCCCGTTGAGACCACCGTCCCTGGGCGAATTGAGATTGCAGATGTGCCCCCCATCCAAACAGACTGGCGTCTGTGGTCAAGGTTACCCGAGTTGGTTCTCTGAACAGGGATCCTTTGGACAGTGCTGGGGACAACCACCAGATGAGGGACGTGAGTGTCTGTGGTGGGACTCGCACCCTCTGTGGAAAACATGCTACACCCCGTTTCTGGTAAGGGAGTAGAAACCACTGTAGTTGTCTCGTATGAAGCCTGGCCCAAGGCACTATGGCAATACATGAGATCAGTTTCCCTAACAGCTGTGACAGCAGGAGCAGGGTTACACGTTTCTCCTTGCGCACCCTGGTGACCATCGTACGTATGCTGAGCTGACGCTCCTGAGACAGGAAAACTCGGCATTGGCTGGTGTCTATTATTGCGCCTAGGTGGAGCAAACGGTTTGTTGGGATCAGATGGCCTCTTTGGGAAGTTGATCATAAATCCATGATCCTGGAGTGTCTTGATCGTCAGTGCCACGTCTGAACGGGCGTTCAGTGCCGAGGACGACTGGATTAGGATATCGTCCAAGTAGCACTGAACGCGGACTGGTACCAACCTGAGCTGTGCGGCGAGAACCGCCAGGATTTTGGTGAAAACCCTTGGAGCTGATGATAGGCTGAATGGCAGGGCCCTGTACTGATAGTGATGGTTGGAATACCTGAATCTGAGGAAACGCCTGTGATTTGGATGAATGGGAATGTGCAGGTAAGCTTCTGTCAGATCTATGGATGTAAGAAAATCCCCCGGCCGAATACTGCCCAGAATAGAATGAAGAGTTTGCATCTTGAATTTTTGGTAAATTAGGTACCGATTTAGAGCCTTGAGGTTTAGGATCGCCCTCCATCCTCCTGAGGGTTTTGGTACCACGAACAGGATGGAGTAGAAACCCAGTCCCCATTGATCTGGGGGTACCCGCTCTATTGCCTCTATGCTTAACAGATGACAAATGGCCTCCTCCATGAGACCTTGTTTCACGGGATTTCTGGATAGGGGGCAGGAGATGAAGCGCCGAGGTGGGAGTGTGAGGAACTCCAGAGACAGTCCGTCTCTGATAGTGGTTAGAACCCAATTGTCCGTGGTGGTACTTTCCC